GTAAAAACTAAAAAATGAAATAAAAAATGTTTTAAATTAAACAAAAAAGGCAGTTATAAAAAATTTTATTATTAAAACAACATGAACTATAAAAAAGAAAATGAATAAATAAAATTTCAAAATAATGAATGATAAGTTTTTATTATAGATAATTGTATATAATGATAAATATCGAAAAAAGCAATTATAATTTTAACATTTTTTTCTTTTATATATATTAAACAAAAGAAACTTCGCTTATGAAAAAAAAATCAAGATAAGTAAATAATAAAATAACTAATAAATAGTTAAAATAAAAAACAATTAAAGAATTAAATAATAAAGTAATAAAAATCATAAAAAATTATAATAAAAAAATGATAAAAACAATGTATGAATAATAAAATCAATAAAACTTAAATTAAAAAGATTTGTTTTTTGAAAACTAAATTGCAAGAAATCAAAATTAAAATAGCAGAATTGCATTCGTTATCTAAATCGTAAAAAACCACGAAAAAATTGCAACTGAAATCAAAGAATTACATATTTATATGCTAATAGCAAATAGAAAAATCGTATTCTAAACGTAAAAAATCATGAGCAATTGAAATTAAAAAATCGCATTTTAGCAGGAGTAGCAAATTATAAAAAATTGAAATTAATTAAATTATTTTTTTTGCACAATTGAAATTATAAAAAAAAAATAAAAATTAACTAATAAATCTTTATACAAATATAAAATTGTAATAATTAAATAAAATATTATAAATAAAATATAATAAAATATAAAATTGTGATAATAATATTTAAAATAAATGATTGTATTTTATATTATCTTATGATTGTCTTTTATAAAAAATTTTAACTTTCGTGTATAAAAGATTTTTCATATATTTTATTAGATAAAATACGATTATAGCAAAGACAATTTTATTTAAGAATTTTATTTATAATTCAATTAAGATTTCTATATTCACAAAATATAACTTACTTTATTAATTTCGTATAACTTTTTTATGTAATTAAAAATAAGAGAACATAATTTTATTTTTTTCTATAAAATATTCTATTATTATATTTTAAAGATATAAAATTTGAAAATTTATATCTAAAAAATAAGATATTAAAAAAAAATTGGAAGAATAAAATGAATTTAAAAGAACAAAGAAACAAAAAAATTCTAAGGGGCTTAAGCAAAAATGCATTTTTTACATGATGTATAGCAAACTCAATGCGAGTATTTATTGAAATATCAATATCAATCGCAGTATCGAACTGTTTTACCCGATCAAAGTACTTTGCAGATAACTGATAAGGTACTCGATTCTTGTATAGTTCACTTACATAACAGTAGGCGTGTACTCAAAATTAGATAGTCGACGTTCTCAAATGTAATTTTTAAGCAAAAATGAGTGTTGAAATTTTTCGAACCCAATTCTATAAAAAATTGACGATCAATAGAATCACATAACTATGATTAAAATAAATCTATATATTATGAAATGAAAATCTTCAATTCAAAATCAATCAAATTTATCAGTTCAAAATTCAAGAATAAAGTCAGTAATAATAATATTAGTAACATTGAATAAAAAAAATAAGAGTGTAAATCGAAGAATAATTTGAAGATTTTTTTACATTTTACTGTAACAATATATATAAATCAATTGAACAATTATGATCATAATCTGAATAAAAAAAAAACGCGCTTTTAATGAAATATTTACACAATTATCAAAAGGATAACAATTATCGTATTCTTATCACTTAACTAGCATGTTGTGAATCACCAATTTCGTTAGCTAATTAAAACGTAACATTGTCGTTTGTGACAAGATATGAAGAAAACAAAGTTGATATAATGTAAAAGAATGAGACACGTCACCATCGGTTCAACAGTTGCGATCGAGTTCGCTTCGAGTTCCTCGGGCAGTAAACGTTTCACAGCATGGCTCATAAGAATTGCAAGAAAGAAAAAATGATCGTATTAAATTCATCCACTCACAATACGGTAACATTTTTTTTGTTTTTTGACATGTAACAATTATATAACATACGTACGATTGTTCGTTAATTAATCACACGCTGCGTTGTTATCTCTTCAAGTTCACACGAAAAGTGGTCGGAATAAGATATCGCCTATTATTAGATTTGCTATTTCAGGATCTTGAATACTCTCCAGCACTCTGACACTGCTCCGGACACCATTATAAAATGTGATTCTCACGAATGAAAAAAACTTTTGGTATCGGTAAAAAAAGGATACACTGTTGAAATATATCACCAAAACACAAATTCATCGAAACACCTTTAAATTTGTCGAAGATAAAAGAAACAGAACACACAAAATCTAAATATGCAAGTAACCAAACGTTGCAATGTTGCACAGAAAAATAGTAGAAGTAACACTCGGTCGGTAACTTTGAAACACCATGAAACACTACATAAACACATTATTTTCCATAATCTTAAAAATACAGTTCAAATAAAGATAGAACTGCAAGAAAAATAGAAAAAATGTATGTGCCCAAAAAACTGAAGAATATGAAGTAAATAAATTGCCACGCTACGAACTAAACGAATCGATGGATCGACCAACCGATTAGAACGTACTTTAAATGTTGCAGATGAACATTACAATCGACGAACACAGACGGCACATATGTATCGTATATATGGAATCATTTTCAGTTACAATGCTATAAGAATACATAGTTTCACTTCGTAATTCCACTATATAGTTGTTAAGTTTGCATATAAGTACAGATGTATTCATTTTCTCTCTTTTTCTATTACCCCGTTTATTCTATCCGAAGAAAAAACAAAATAAATGTAGAGAAGATGAAAAAAGGACAGATAGAGAAGGGAAGAAAAGGATAAAATATATTTTATGATATAAATTAATAATATATGTTGATTCGAATATATACATGAACGGAAAGGATAAATTATATACATTTACGCATATTCTTCAAAGAAAGGAAGATAAAAGAAAAGGATAGTATATATAGTATAGAATGTGTATGTGTGTGCGCGCGCATGCATATATATGTATGTGTATATGAATGTGCATGTATATGCACAAGAAAAAGAAAGAAAGAAACAGAACCTAAAGAAATATATTTAGCTAATTTTTTCTTATGCACCAATTTTTTTTTATCAAACACTGGTCGTTTAAAAGTTTCTTATACTCCTTTAGAGGAGTTTAACACGACCGGGAACGTATCGGTTAGTTTCACCACACATTTCTCTTCTCTTACCCGAACTAGTCTATGATATATTCCAGTGCGGTGGCTGCGATGATTAAAAAACACTCGCGTCTTACATTCGCGCCCTAACGAGAAGGGTAGTCAAAATCGTACGGTCAGTCCAACGTTTTCAGGGCCGCCAGGTTAACGTCACGAAATCCACCGACACAACCATAGATCCAAACGGTGGACGGACGGACGTAAGGACGGACGGCTGGCTGGCAGCAGGCAAGGCGGAATCAGAGAGAGGATCGGGGGGAGGGACTGAATGTAGCGGGGTGAGGGTAAAGTTTCTGGATACGGGGCAGGTGGGGTCATAAGGGACCGGGGACGTAT